GTAAGGTCTTACGGTGGAAGACACTGTCACTAGGTTCTGCCTAACACTCGCATCCTTCTGCGAGGGACAAACAAGGTTGCACTCGAGCAAAAAGGGAATCACTAATGATAAAAACAATATTAATAATATAATATGTATTCTTGTCATAGAGGTTAATTGAAATTAGGTATATATTATAGCGATAAAACAGAGAATCACTATGCTTAATTTTTCAAGATGTATATTGCGACTTTCTTATATATTTATAATCAATAATTTAATATTCTCAACACAATTGTGATACTAGTTACTAAAACAAAAGTCTTAGAGTGCAATGTTAATAAGGACTAAGTGTACCATACAAAATATGTCAATCCTACGCATCATACAAATAACTCTCATATGTAATTTACCATGTATACTACTCAGTGGATGTATGATTTTTTTAAGCCAATAAAAAACTACTACTACTACTACTACTGGACTAACAGTATACTACGTACTAGAGTAGGGGTTATGGTATGTATATGAATATCCAACGCTTTTAAGTGGAAAACAACTATAAATAATTTTAGCAAATGATAAGGAAACATCTTATAAGTAGAGTATCGCTGCTTCATGGAACACTATTTAGTGATATACAATGTTTAATTTTTAGAAACGTACAAGGAAATTCTGATTAAATTTTTACAAATCTATTTTTTTTTATTTTTACATTATTATCACCAGACCTACGAACTCAGAAATACTGTCTTGATCAAATTGTTTGTAATTCACTAGAAAAGGAGTCTATCGTTGGTTATGTGGTTCTCTTGAATTTGTACTTGTAGTAATCGTACTAAGTATATTCAGCTTAATTTTTTTTTTCTCAAAATTTGCGTACTTCTCCGATTTTCCTTTTAGTTATTCAACTTTCGTTTAATGTACTTATAGATAAAAACGAATGAACAAGCATAAACAAACACACGATCAATTTATGAAAGTGTGTGGGTGTACATATCCATGTGTATGTGTATGTAAGTGTCACGTCCCACAGGTCGAAGGTTATATAGTACACCTATATACATCTTCCATCATCAGGGCCTGGCTACACCCTTTCGATAACCTCATTACACTTTGCAATACTGGCCAGGGCTTGCCCAAGGCTTGGTGTTTAGCTACGACCGTCTAGTAGTCATTGATGGCATGGTATAGGTAAAGGCACAGTTTATACAGTTGCGACACTCCATTCCGACAAGAAATGAGTTCCATGTGCTTATATTGGGTGTAATCCGCAATCGCCGCCAGCAGTTACATATGTAAGACGTGACAACGTTGTGTGGTTGGGGGCGCTACTGTCGATTTACTGGTGATGTGATCCGCAATCCCGCCAGCAGTAAAGCAGACAACGTCGGTCTACTTGCTCTTTTTCGTGACATTTTTGCTGTGATCCCGCGCAATCCCGCTAGCAGTAAAGCTGTTATTTCCATTTTTCTTTTTGGCACTTAAACTATTTTTTTTGGTCTGCGTGTTTGTTTACGTCTATCACAATATGCGTTGTTTACAATCAGAAAATGTCACAAAAAGAGAAAGTAGACCGACGTCGTCTACTTTACGGCTGGCGGGATAACGGATCACATCACCAGTAAATCGACAGTAGCGCCACCAACCACGCAACGTTGTCACGTCTTACATATGTAACTGCTGGCGGCGATTGCGGATTACACCCAATAACAAGTAGACCTACATCGGCCATTCCAGATAGGACTGGACCAAGGACCAAACTGATGAAACAAAATTATGGAACTATGGAACTGAACTGTCCTGAGTGGAAATTGAAAGTGGGCGAAAACTGGGCCCAAGCTTGGGAGCCATGCTGCCCACCTTGGCCGCAGCTTGGCACCTGACTTAGCCAACAGTGGGTTTGTAATACGGTGCTTACTTGGGTGCAGCTTGGTATGACTTTTGCCCAGTAACCGACCACTTTCGCCTGCAATATAATACAGAGATGTCTATGCATAAGTATACACATGTGGCGCCTTCGACTATCGTCAAGGCACACACAGGCGGTCGACGCAAGCAGCAGCTGAAGCCACGCGAGGTCTTCGCGCTGTCCACGCCGAGCGGCGCTGCCGCCGCCTTCTCTAGCCGCCAAGCAGCTACCTAGTGTGGCGCGCGTCCAGCCCACACCAGTCCGAGCTCGACCCTCGCATGAGCCGCATCCGCGCACGCTCACGCTCGCAGCCTCCGCTGCCGTCACAGCTCTCGACACTTCGCCGTACCATTTTGCCTTCTGTTCTTTGTATGCTAATAAAGCACCATTTATTGAGTACACTCGAGTGAGCATCTTTGAGCGCCTACCCTCGCCTTTAACTTCCTCGAGCTCCGGGACACGCTCAGCTGATCCCAACACACATATAGTATGATATGCAAGCGCTCAGCACACACATGGATATGTATGAAAATTTATATGTTTGTATATATATCACATATCAGTGCAGACAAAAGTGGGCGATTACTAGGCGAAAGTCAGGCCAAGCTGCGCCCGAGTCAGCTCCGTAT